AAATCTGAATGTCCACATAGGAGGTCGTCATCCATTGCGATCAAAAAAGTCCACACTTGAGAGACCAGCTTGAGCAGCGTTTTAAGATTCAGCGCACAAATAAAGCGAGCGTAGCTAGTCACCTTACCTTTGCATGTAGAGCCAATAGAATCCAAGTAAGTGCGCTCATTCGTCATCATAAAAATTCTCGAGGCCATTCGAAAGAAAGCACCGACGCTAAGGTAATGAGCAATCAGATTGAACTTAGCAAGATTATTTAAGTCGATACGATATCTATAAGTGACGACGTCGGCATTATCATCGTCAACTGCAACATTGGCTTCTAGAGGATTGAGCACATCTTCGAAAATGTTGAGAGCACGCTCCTTCGTAATCTCATCGTTTGAATCATCAGGATGGAAGAGCATCTCGTTGATGATAACATCAACAATAGACTTGTTCACAAACAAGTGAAGAGGAACTTGAGCACCAAAAAAATGTGATTTGATAGTGCTGTGATGAACCACAAGAGCATTGTCGTCAAAGAAAACAGTCTTTTCAGTAGGGGTCAGCTCACTGTACTCTTTCCAACGCCCTGGATGTTGGGACATCATGTGCCTCTAGTACGTGTCTGCACGAAAGGGCTTCTTGAAGTACATAACATTTACTGTGCGACTTTGTTTCGCGCCGATTTGCCCTTCACGACCAAAGTGAATGCAGAAAAGACAAGACGCTAATACTATAACTTTTGAGACAGCACCGCGCTCACAGACTTTGACATCAAAAACAAGTGAATGCTCCATTTTATAAAATAAGGTATGTTTGACGCATGGCTGCCATTGAAAGTAAAACAGAATGAGAAAGAATGACTCTCATGCAACTCGATCTGGCAGACTTTATTTGTGGTGCTACGCAAAAGTTATATGTGGCTATTTGTGGTGTTTTGAACCAAATCACCACATTTAAAGTGGTCTGGTTATCGTGTATCAAATATATTACCATAAATCTTTGAAAAAAATGAAATTGGTAATTGTCAATTTTTCTCATAGGGACAAATATACACTTTTTATCTTTATTGATTTGAAAATAAGTTTTTCTGGAGAAATTTTTTTTATCAATATTAAAATGAAAATCTTAATCTTGAAATAAATATTTCAATTCTTTTTATATTTAAAAAATGATTTTTTTAAAAAAAATTGGAATATCTTAAGTTTAAAAATTAAATACAAATAGATATGCCAAAATTTTAGTGTAGTAAATATATATATATAATATTTTTTCTATATTGGTAAAAAAATACATTTTTATTTTTATACATCTATTATTAAAATATAATAATAATAAATACATGTTGAACTTTTTATAGAATTTAAAAAAAAATTAGTAAATCATTTTTTGAAGTCTATTCCGGTAACAAATCAAATTGAGTGGATGAAATTCCTGAATGTGATTTAGAATGAAAGTTGAAACTCACGGAGAGTGAATAGTCGCATGTTTTGTAGGTATTCTTCCTCTGTATTTTGTGCGTGCATGTTTGTAATATGGATAGAGTAGAATGGAATTGGAGAAGACAAGCTTTGTCTATTTGCATATAAACGTTGGCATAAATGACTCACAAATGATTTAAAGTCATGACAGGTGAGAAATTACGACAATAGGAGCAGAAAAGGCTAGTTAACTTGTTTTGATCTCTCTAGAGAATCAGGTCTTGTTTGTTCTGAACTTACATACTCTGAAACAAGTAATATTAAAATAAAAATTTAAATGTAGAATCTAATATCTTAGAAAAAAATTTATATATTTTTAAAGGGTGTCAATCTTTATGAAAAGGATTTTTTGCACTTTTGGAATAATTCTAAGTTTTCAAATTAAATTGAAATATATTTTTCAAAATATTGGAATAATATTTTAAGATATGTTGTGTATATTTATAACTTTTTTTCAATTTTTATTCTATTTTACACGTTTATTATTGAAGATGAAAATTAAAGTAGATTTTAAAAATAAATTAGATTGTCATTATTTGAAGTACAGGAGGGAATAGAATAAGACAAGCTCATTCTGTTTTCATATACACATTGGCGTAAATGTCCCGCAAGTGAGGCCCTTACTCGTAGAGAACACTTCCTATGCAATCTGAAAAATATTGCTATTAACTCTTCAAAATGACTTGGAAAAGTTGAAGAATATTTACAACTATTGTAAAATACGTTTCTAGATGATGATCCCTTTAATCTAAGCATGGTTGGATTGCAACAATCCAACCATACTTTATTATTATTCTGCATAATGAATGTTGACTCAACACTAGATTAAAAAAAATTTAATTTTTTTTTACTTAAAAGAATAATTACGCTCCAATAATTTATGCAATTAATGTTTTATTACTTTAGATAAAAATACGAAATTAGAATTCTTACAAAAAAAATTTAAATTTTTTTATGAAATAAAATTTTTAATGATTTTTTTTGGGAAATTTCACTATCAATTGAATGGAAAAATTTTTGATTTCACTCTACTTATGTTTTCGAAAAATATTCGTGTAAATTTTTTTGGATTATTTTTTCAGTAATGATTTTTTTAAACATTATTAAAATTTTTTTAAAAATCATATTCAAAAGACTATCCTAAAGTTATTGTGTAGAAAATATATGATCGGATTTGGAAAAAAAAAATTTGAATACAAAATCAAAGGCAATAACTTTATTTTGGTTGAAATTTGTGTATAAAATTTAACCTCCCAACAATGTGACATACTCCCATTAGTGACATCAAAATAGAGAATCATTAGTTTGTAACTTGTAAATCTGCCCAATATTTCAGTAGTTCAGTATTCACAATAGTGACATGATACTAATCAATAGTGAAAGTGTCGAGCTACATTTCCTATCATAATCACCGTAAGGATTGGGTTGAGAGTTTGCGCGTTTAAAATCAGATGCAAGTCAAACTAGATGAATCCACACATCTAATTGGACTTCATATAATAGTCTATGTCTTCCATACTTTGCACAAATATCCGTATAGTATCCATTGAAGAAGTCATTACAAAGCAATAGTTTGTCTTTGAGTATTGATGACAGCTTTTCATTCTCCTAGAGCAATTTATGAACTTTGTAACATAAATTGTAGATCATTCACACACAAAACCAATCACAAAAATGTCTCATGTGACGTGGACACGATGAAGCAGATGTAATGTAGCAATAATTCATCACAAGCGAGATTTCATACTCACACATTAGATTCAATTGAACACACCGAAAGTGCTCTTTGAAAGACTGAATAATTATTTATCAAGAAGTTGACATTCGTTGGTAAAATTTGATGAAAATAAATGATGCGTAGATAGTGATATGTAAAAGTTTCTATTGATTTGGATGGATTCAAGATTTTGGACTCACAAACATGAGATGAACAATTGTCTTGAAGTATATAGAATATAAAGTAGAGGTTTTTGTCAAATCTACTCTACTTAAATAGTAGGCGCATATTATATGATGTATCTTGTCAAGATTTAGCTTGATGATCATTGGTAATTTCAAATGCTATACTGATATTTTGAATATTTTTCAAAACATGTGGACAAACACTCTTTATGATAACCTATGTGGTAAATTTTTTGTCTTATGAGTTAACTTGAAGAGTACTTGTGATTTAAAATTTTCTTTGCTTGATTCCACGACCATGTGAATTAACTCTCCTGTATGATCTTGATAATGTTGTGAGATGTTGTAAAGCCGACTCCTCAATGTTGATAATGCATTTGAGTGGTACAATGTTGATAATGCATTTAGCATTTTGCAAATTTGATGCAAATGTTTTTGCACCTGCTTAAGATTGATACTGTGATGTTCTTCACACCTCTTCAATTAGATGTTGAGATGCATTTTAGATATTTCTCAAACTATCCATTCGATCGCGATAAATATTCAAAAAATTTGATGATGTCAAACATTCTGCAATATCAAGCAAGATCTTGTTTTTTTAAAAAGTATCTCATCTTTGAACATCTTGTCAGTCACATTCAGTATGGACGCATAGATCTTAACGCGCATATGCCATTGATGCATCATGTTTGTAAGTTGACAAGTTGCACTTGAATTGATGTAGAATTCTTCATATACCCATATTGATTTAATTCCAATGCCACATGCTTGATAACTTCTCTCTCCTTCCGGATATTTGAAAGAGTTGGACCTCCAACTAACAAATGCTGATGCTGTTTGTTCATGCTTGGCTTTAGGTTGATTGAAAAAATTGAGAACTGTCAACTTTGTTTTAAAGTCCAAGCGTTTAAGTTTAGACATATTGTGTATAATAACAGTGACAACTTTGAGCATGCCAAAAACAATAACGCATGAAACGAAGTCAAGCAGAGCATCAAATGAAGGCAAATAACGCGCCAAACAATGTACTTATAGGAAGTTCAGATGGGTGGTATTCTAAACTCCGTCATATAAAAATGTTGCGCAATTTCTTATAAATGACACCTACCAACAGGGACGTTAAACCCTAGCAACCTTATGTGTCACTATTGGGAGGTTCAACTCTATATAAGATTTAAACATATTTTTTAATTACTATCATTACTGTGTTATATTTAGTTAAATCGTTTTTGTCAAGTCTTTATCAAGTTTATTCCGAATAACTCCGTAGAGCAGTTATGAAAAAAAAGTTGAATATATGCTCAAAAATTCTGCAACAACATAAAAGAAATCAACTCATATTAATATTTTCATTTCACTTCCCGTACATAAAGCTGAAGTATCGGAATCTTCAAATTTCTTCTCTCTAATATAGTCGTTTAACTTATATCAGAAATCACATTCTAACGTTCATGCCGACGGTATCGATGGAACGTGTACATGTAGAAAGCTGCGCCAAGTTCTTATTCAAACTGGCTCCAGGAGCTTGGAAATGAGAGTACGACAAGAAAGCCGGAGCCCCGTTGACGAAGACGGCCTCGTTGACTGATTGTAGATTTGCGGTGGCCCAGAGTGCGAAAGTGCGGCTAGAAGTTCGAGAGAAGCCGGCGTGGATGCGAAAGGACCCCAAGTGGCGGAAGGGGCGAAGCTGGAATCGAGCCTCGACTGACGAACCATGTCTCGAGCGTGTGAGGCGGGCAGCAGTAGCAGTGGTAGTGAGGAGCTACACGTCTGCGGTCTATGCGGCAAAGAAGGCGTCAAGTTGAGATGCAGCACCTGCGTTCAAGTGTACTACTGCGACCGGAAATGCCAGCTTTCGGACTGGAAGACCCACAAACCGGTGAATTTTGCTCTTGGTTGCGCGGGTCTTTTATGCCCATTCATTCGTATATGTGCAACAAGTTTTTCTCGCTTGGATTGTGGGAGAAGAGTCAGGACAGCATGGAGACATGGGAGGAGATGTGGGAGCCTTTTCTGACATGTTGAATCTTTGTTCCTTGTGATCTATCGAAATCGATGGTGTCAGATTTGCAAGGTGTTGTCTGGGGGAGGAAACGGCATGAAGAAGGCTCTTGAGGTTTTCGAAGGTTTACTTGCTGCCGTGGAACGCGGAAAGGGACCTACCACGGCTAGTGGAAAGGTACCCACCACGGTTAGGAAGGCTGATGTCAGCTTGTTTGACGACAACTTCAAATGGGACGAAGGACTCACCAAAGAGGAGGTCTCTCTCTCCCTCCGTGTCTCTTTCTTCTGGAGGAAAGATGCTTCCGAGCTCCATTACATTTTCTTCTTCGATTATCTTATACGTTATTTAAACCCTAAACCTTAATTGAATCGTAAAATCCTAGACGTCCAACTTGTTCTAGAGCTAAAATTTTTGGGTGTTCCGTTTTCTTACACGTTAATTAATCCTATAGGAATAGGAACAGTTACCAACCAATATCATTAAAGTGGGTGATCTGTTATTAATATTAGGTGTCTCTCAAAACACCTTAAATCTCAAATCTCACGCGTTAAATTGGTTTTAAAAGTTAATTCGGTGTTCCATTATCGTATATCATAATCAAATTCTAAGATAATTTGGTCTCGTTGTTGTACAGGTCTACGTGAGGTTTATTGATAGCTTTCGCCTGCGACGTGACGACGATTACGCTTTCGGTGCAGAAATTTGCGAGTTTTATGCCTTAGGAAATGCTATACCAGGCTTCAAGGATTATTTGAATCAAGCAAAGGCGAAAAACGTTGGTCATCGCGCTCTGGAAACCATGTTTAGACAGCTGGTCTAGATCTGGATGAATGACATGTCTAGACGTGACGATAAAAAGAATTCACTGCTTGTTCAATGAATGCATCGTTACTAGTCACGTGTCCCTTGCAGATTGAGTAGACTAATCCACTTCCATGTCTTGCAATTTCCATTTCTGGCTCTATCTAAGAGCAATCGTGGGCAGATACTTCCGTTACTATAACATTGTCTTGAATAAAAGTGTGTAAGCTCTGTTCTTAGGATTTATTCATTTGGGAGAATGATCTGAAGTTGCCTTTCTATACTTCACAGATTCTACCTAGCTGGTGGAGTGAGCAGGATGATCGCAAGATTATGATCTTCTCGATGTCGCACAAGTGGGCAAACCTGAATTACGCTGTGGAGAAATATGACATAGAAGATCACTATTGTGCTCTAAACAAGCCATTTGAGCATATGGTTCTTCGCTTCTTGGCCGAACAAATTACCGGTGACAATCCTTGCTGCGCCTTTAAGTAACGCTCCAGAATGAGTCGAATGGATCGATCTAATGTCCATTTCAGTTGTTGCCTGGGACACAATTTTGCAATTAAATTTGTGAAGACCCTCCGCTATCTGTACCGTCAGATATAGTCGTCTTGCGGGTTAAATGGCGAGCGTTCTCTCATTAGGCACTGGATACTCATTTGGGCTACAACGAATACATAACTTACTTTGACTTCGCCAGTTTTTTTGTGTGAGAAGAAGAGTAAAACTCTCTTCATTCTTGTTTATGGGTTGGCTTCTCGTGCTATATTTTGGTAATGATAATACTTGTTTATGGGATGAACTGCTTCTCATGGTATTATTTGGTAATGATAGTACTTGTTAATGCGTTGAATGCTTCTCGTATTATAATTTGGTAACGATAGTACTCATTTATGGGTTGAATGGCTTGTCGTGTTATAAGTTGGTAATGACAGTAAGATGAAAACACGTCACAAAGTATAACGTGTGAGTCTTACTAATCTGACTCATTTTAGAAGTCCAGCTGGTGCCGAACATGAGAAAAACTTTGGTCTGGAGTAAATAACAATGTCTACTTGGAGGTACAACATGGGCATGGTGTCCGCAGAGTGCTAATTGAAGCGCATAAGCACATGTTCCTTGACCGTAGCTACACGTGAACTAAAAAATTCATTCCATGTACTGTAGTAGACTTGTAATAAATTCTTCAGCAAATATTCGGAACATTCCCTTGTACTGTGTTGAAGACTGGAAGAAGTAATCTCAATATCAAGATTACATCCAAACTGAAACTGCCATGAGTTTGCAGATTATTTATCCAATTACCGGAGTACAATTAACTGGTAAAAATTGTGGTAGCAAAGAAGGGAACACTTGTGGATGCAACTGTCATAGAAGGCAGCATTTCCTCTCGCTCGTCACATTCTGCCTCCAAGTTGAGTTCCTCTACGAGTCAGTTCGCTTTAGAAACTAGCTCAGCAGAATATTTTACATTAATATCATTCCCTGAGTTGAGCCCATCGAGCGCGAGCCTTTTAAGTGGGGGTCGGAGCCCTTTAGACCCTAACCTTGAAACAGCACTAGGGAAGTTCCTCCACGAGATGGAACCCAACATCGGTGTAAATGTACATGTACCCATCATGTTGATTCAAACGTTTATCACTGTCGTCCTAGTTCTATCTTCTGATAACGCAGACCATTTCTAATAGGTGGGGACAACACGGGATGAAAATTGCAGTTCCCCCTACCATCATTTCGAATCGAGAGTTTTTTCTACTACTGCATTATCTGTACAGGTGGGCGGGAGAACCATGGCTCGTGTGTTACTCGATAGATATCGAAGGCCGTAAAGAATCGTGTGTTAATTGGGAAGGCTTTTAGCGACGGGCAATCTTTCAATGACGAAATGATCAATGACGCGTACATTACAGTTCCTTTCTTTGTAAAGACCTACCGGTGTCCACTGACTTGGGTACTCCAGACTATGAGAAACCGCCCCTCTCTGCGTCGCTTGTTCAGCCTCCCAATGAGGATCCAAAGCCCACTCCTTCGGTACCTGCTCACAACCAGCAGTCAGCGATCAGCAATCAGGTGCGTTATTCAGCTTCCATCTCAAGTTGGTCTCGTTACGAGGATTCAAACCCACACTTCTCTTTCAATGAAGAAAACAACAGAAAACGAGAACTCAGACGAACCTTGTCTACTGCAAGTGTGTACACTTCAAGGTCTCCCTTGGCGGTTATGTGGCAGCGGGAAAAGGATTTATAGTTGGCTATTCGCAAGGAGGAAAATGCTTCATCAAAATGAAGATGAAACCAGTTGATGCAGCAATACAAGTAGCTGCCGAAAACCAAAGACACAACTGGAGTGGAGAAGACCCAGTAGTAAAGGAACACCGACACATAGTACGCCAGAACAAAACCCCTAGGAACTGTGTCCAAACCATTCTTGCAAATGTTGCTCCGAGTCACGGCCATAACCTGCAAAGTTCCATGGCCTACAAATTATCCACCATACTGACTACACCGACTTCTACACATTCTAGTCAGTGTAGCGTCATAGCAAGCACTAAAATGGGAGATTTCTCGGGGCTACTAGAGACAACAAACAGAACATATTAAGCTTTCGTTAGAGACTTTGTCGTGTTCAGAATAGTTAATCAATGTTCACTCTTCTGCGCAGTCCACGTAACGGAAGTACCTCTGGTATGTCAAAAGCTGCCATGAGATACTTGATGCACGCTGGATAAAGACCGAAGGTCCAAAACTCAATGCGAGCTCTCAAGCCAGTTGGATCAGGAAAGTGCTCATTCTCCTTAGAATGATACCAATCATATAGAGTGTGATAGCCTGCATACACGTTGGATAATTCAATAAAGTTTGCAAAACCGTTACACCACAACACAAAATATTGCATAATTAAATAAGATATTCCTCACTGAGAAGAAAAATAAAACGCATGATTGAACATACGACCAAGATAGATTGCAACCGGATTCTAAACCTTTGACTTAGCTACAGTATGTGAATCCACTGATTGCAGTTATGGTCACCCATTACACGTACCAGTATTCCCTAGAAGTTGATGTCGGACGCACGTCTCGATTCCTAGTTCTAGAAGCAGCATGAGCATCATAGCAGCGGTGAGATGAGCCCCTACATGGAGCAGACCGATAACAACCCGCTTTCGCCGGGAAACTTTGACAGGAACAAAGAGGATGGATAGAAACAGCAAGGTGGAGAAACCTGCGACAGAAACGTAAGAATCCTCCAGCATGTCCACGAATGCATGGCCCATCACACTCCAAAATTGTTGAATATGTCCCATCATTGAGTCATCCTCTCGCAGCACTTTCTCCAAATGACACTGGGAAACAAAACGTAGAAGCACAGTTAAAACGAAGTTGAATCGAAACAATAACAAATGTTTTCAACAAAACAAAGATTTTCTCACTCATTCCTCATCCCATGACCCGGCTAGTCCATTGCATACAAAAAAATCGTTGATTGGTACAATTAGTAATTATAATAAGAGTCGTGATTTATATGTAGATCATATGATACATGAACAACGTCAGTAATTAGCGACCAAGAGAACTAAGCAACCCTGACGGTGCATCTCAAAGGTGCCCACAATATAAATCATGATACATTGTTGAACTCGAAGTCAACTTATTTCTGCATTTAGGGCTAGGGTGTAAGTAGGTTCAGCCATCAGCTACCTTGAGGTTAGGTTTTTTTAAAAGGACATCAGGCCCAAGTTTGAGCCATGAACTCTCTATATATTTCTAGATTAATAGTAAAGAACATAGGTCAGAATACACACCTAGTTGTCAATATATTGAGTGTTAGATTGCTCAGAGATTGAGTGTGGAATTAGCAATTTATTTAAGGTTTGAGTTCTATCTAAATTCAAAGTGGGGACTATTGTAAGGAGTTCCTGATCTCAGTGTCGCCTACCTGAGAGTAAGGAAAGTGTAGCAAGCTGTAGCTACATCAGAGGAGTCATCAGGTGTAAGTGATATATCTAGATTACATCCTAGTCAACTGCTGCATTAGAGTTAAGAATATCAAAAAGGTATGGGCCCACACTTGGTTGGTGAGCCTTAGAGCATGATGAAAAGTAACAGTCTAAATTACAAACAATAGACTCTTGATGGTGAAGAGGTATTTAAGCTCTTTAGCTATTGAAAGTGCTGTAAAAAAACCTAAAACATCGAGGAGTGTTTTGGAGATAAGATGTTCACATTACAGCACGCGATAACCAAGGGTCGGTTGAAAAGAACTCTCGATCAAATCAACAAGAACTTGGTAGTAAATATCTCATATGCTTGGAACATATGAACCGAGTTAAAAGCTGTGACATAGACTGGTATCTTTGTTGAAGCTAGGCTGAAATGAACAGAGATAATTTTCTTGAGATGATGAAAAATTTTGCAAACTTTTCACCAAAAGAAGAAAAGTAAAAAGATAAAAGATAAAAGATGAAAAAGTTTGCAGTGTAATTGCACATAACGGCTAAGTTGAGATTATGTTTTCTAGGATTGGTCAATCAGGCACAATCATTCAGCCTTTTTTCAAGGTTGCACATCTGTTGAGCAGTCTGCTTAGAAAATTAAGCCTCTTAACTGTTCCTTGAGGCTCTTCCTTAAGAGCAAGAGACTTGGGATTACATGTAAAAAAAGGTGGTCACTAATGAATACTGTATAAGAAAAAAGTGGGTCAGAAAGAGTAAAAGAATCTCAAAATTGCTGCTCATGTGGTGATAGAGGGCATTTGAGATTTTAGAAACCAAATTGGAAAAACCAAAAGAAAGGTGGCTTCAGATCTTCCAAGTTTGAAGAGAAAATAAAATCTCATGACATAGAAAGGATGGGAAGAAGAAAGCGAGTAAAGTCTTGGTTGAGGAATCTTCAGACAATGACAGTGACTACAGTTGCATGGCAGTTAAAAAAGGAAAAGAAGTGAATCAAGGATAGTACCTAAGTTCAGCGTGCAGCTCTAACATGAGCTAAGAAAGTTATCAGTCTAAATTTGGAGGAGATGATGAGGTATGCAGAGTGTGAAAATGGAGCTGAGACACAAATCTTTAATATAGAATCAAATACTTTGCACTGTTGGGGGAGTGAACAGAGACTAACAACACACTACAGAAATGCAGAAAGTAAGATATATAAGTGGTATTTTTATTAAACGAACATCAGTGAGCAAGCTCACTAAAGCTGACTTTCATGTGCACTTAACGGGAGAATGTACTAAAGAGAATGATGGGCAGGTGTTACGTCATCAAGTCCCTAATGACGACTTATCTAAGCTCTTGGAGGTGAAGAACATATTTACCTTGCACATGTGCACTCAAAGAGAAGATTGGGAGATTTTTCTACGTATAACGGTGTGATGGTGAATGGTGTGAAGTTGTAAACAGAATCACTACAATTTTGTGATTCTTGAGCCGTGGGGAAGGAGGAACAAGAATGAAAGGTTGCATTCTGTTTAATCCAAAAAGGCAAGATAAATTTGGAAAACAGATGTACTGTTAGGTGAGCAGAAAGTAAGAATATGATATGAATGGAAGAATAATCATTGCAAAACTTACTGTAAGCACTACACCTGTTGTGTAACTGTAGTACTAACGTTTATACGTGTTGGTGATGAGAGATGGATCTTCATCCCAAACACATAGTTTTCAGAAAACTCAGATGACTGCTGGATCTGAATTTGAAACTTAGGCGGTACTTGATAAAGTGGACACTGTAGACCTGGTAGATGGACTTCCTGATCTCCAAAGTCGGAAGAATACATTATGAAGAAAGAAAAGCATGAAAAGGCTCAAAAATCGTTGAGAACGGTGATTCTAGAAAATAAGTTGCTCCTAGAAGATCCAAGAGGCAAAGACGTTATATATAGAGATTGAAGTATGTTCCAGAGGTTGCTCATGTCTCAGAACAAAATGGTATTGTCATGGAGGAAGCTGTATCTACTGTTGAGGAAAATGAACTTTCTTCATATTCTAAGGCAGCTAAAAGAAATAGATCAGACTGGAAGAAGTCGAAAAAAGCTACTCAAATTTTTCTTTCAAGTTGAAGATGCGACAAAATGTCGCATCTTCAACTTGAAAGAAAAATTAGTGGGTGCAGGTGGGTTCTCAAAGTGAAGAGAGGAGGCACTAAAGAGTCTTTAAAGCACAAAGCTAGGTTGGTGGCCAAGGGTATGTATAGTCAGAAACCAAGCATTGATTTTCATGAAACATTTGCTCTTTTAGCAAGGCATGGCTCTCAGCTCTAGCAGCTGAGAATGATTGGGAAGTAGAGCAATTGAATAAGCAAGCAAAAAGCAAACCTAGGCATAATGCGAAAACTTAATATTTTTCCAGCGTAAAGAGCATGCAGTAAACCCGAAAGCAAATTAAGCATCGCATACAACGCAGAAATCGATGAGTCCAGGTCACACAATGATAAACATGTAAAACAAATCGATCGTGGAGAAGGAAAGGAAAGTCGTCCAACTACACGTCGTGAATAGTAGAGAAGAACACACCTGCGGAAACATGGAGAAAACCAGAATGAAGTAGACGACACCTCCAATAACATCAAAGCGCCAGTTCTTCTTCCGAAACTTCAGGATGTTGCCCAAGGCAATCTAAGCAGAACAAAGATCAATCAGATACTCGCATAACATACTGACTATGTGCTAAGAATCTTAAGTTCCCTCTTGCAGGCTACAGCTAACATTGACTTCGCGCTAAGTCCAAAAAATACAATCTATGATGTGGTCACCTCGATAAACCAGACCGACATTCAAGGCTTTATAGTTTTATGACTGCGTTCTACCTTCCTAGAGTCGGGAATGGATGGATACGCAGACATCTTCTCGTAAGATGATCCTTGGAACTGCTTAAAGCCAGCGAACACATGCGTAGGATGGAGAAAGGCGCCTCCACAGCCGTTTACAATAAGGTGCTGAACAGCTGGTGTGCTATTTGATGGAATTGCAGAATGACGCATATAATGATGCAAATCTCCGGCCATGCGAAGGCGACAACGTCCTCTTAGATGGTCTTTGATCAAATGTGCAACATTCTTTCCTGTGGATCCACCCCAATACCAATCTAGAAGCCAGGCTGGTTCATGCGTGATTACAACAACAGAGTCATCTTCTTTGATCTGGCATCAACCATAACAAGTCACCCTCAACATAGTAAGACACAAATGAATGATGCTGAACTTCGTTACTGTGTTTTTAGTAACCAAGCATACCGGGATAAAGCAGGGCTCCTTCATGCGTTACAGGTTTCTTCCCGTATATATGCATGATATATAGAAGCTCATCTTCAAACTCTTTTTTTCCATATCAATTCTTATGCAATACTTTGAGTAAAAAGAGCCTAGTCATCAGACACAGTCATCAGCTAATTGAGAAAAATACAAGAAAATCTAAATAAATCATAGAGGTTTACCTTGCTGCTTATGATATCAACAAAATATTTGAATTGGAAGACATCAATGTCTCCATGGAGAGCCTGATCAAGACCAAATATCCACCATCCATGAGGAAGCTGCATTGCGAAATAGCTCTTCTCCTGTGGCATCAACCAGCCACCAAGCCAACTCCTGTGACAGATGTACCTCATAAATGTATCTAGCCCATCAAACCAGTCTGCAAAAATGATAGATTGTATAACTGGATGAGCTACAAAGTGGACTGTGAATGATTTCATGATGGACAAATTTCACTCTCTATCTCATTACGAGATGACACGACGCAAAAAGGTCCTGAGAAACTCCAAAAACAAATTTCTTTTGAACACAAGTCTCATGAGGCTTTGAAGTCCATTTCAGACTAATGTATGTTCCAAAGACATAGGCAATATTGTTCAAAAGAGTTCACAATATGCACAATACCATAGAACATATTCGAGAACAATAATTGCTGGCAACCACCATGTGCATGGTGGAAGTGAAGCAAAAGTTTACCATGATTTCCGGGGATCGCAAAACATTGAGGCCCATCATATTGTTGTAACGAAGCAACACCAGCTGGAAGTTCCGGTTTCTGGACAGCAATGTGCTCAGGTCTATACCAATGAGGTGGCTGTAAAGCGTACTGAAATGGCCGAAAAAATCGCTCTTCGTAGGAGAATCTAGAAGGATTGGGATATCTGCAAGTCGCACAGTCGAGATACAAAAAAAATCAAAACATAGGAGATCCATACTTGTCCCGTCCGTGGTCCTTAATGAGAAAGTGTTATCGATTGGAATCTTCGAACCAAGTTTACACTTTCGCTGTCACAACAACAGGAGGTAACAGTAATAGACAGACTATAAAGTACTACAAAGACGACAGAACTAATTTAAAATACAAAGAAAGATATAGGATAAAACAATACACTTGTCAACGTGTAAATTTGAAGAAGGGAAACTGGAACGAGTCAATGAACTTACGCCAAATCACCACCCACGATCATCAAGTTGCCTCTGGGAAGGGTCCGATAATGATTGTCTTTATCAGGCACCCTTAAGTAAGGCTGGGCTAGCAGCCGGGCAACGCTGTACGTAGAATTCCCACCATCACCAGTATCTGCCATGAAGTCAAACCAAAGTTCTTTTCTCACACTGAAGTGGCTGTACAAGGGACCTTCCTTATTACCATTTTGTTGTGCTTGAGTCATTGCTGCCTACAAAAGCAAATACCTTGCATTAGGAAGATTTCGTGTCAAATGATAACGCGTATCGGCAATCTGTTTTAGGCTAAGATCACCGACAGCTAGGCAAATTACAGGCACGAAGGTGGAAAACAAGTAATATACCTGCATCGTTCGCATGTCAAAACGGCCAACAAATAATGTCACAGACACCAAAAGATCGAATGCAGTCTTGAACAAATCAGCAGAAGTCCTGATCAGATTCCAAAACACGGAAAATCATCAATGACATAATGAGTCCCGTAGCATCAAAGGACAAAAATAAGTCTGGTTTTGGAGCCCTTACCCAGAGTACCACGGCACCATATCGAGAAACTCCGGCGTTGTTTCTGTGCTTTGCTGAAGTTTCTCAGGATCAGGGTCTGGATGAGTCAGAGCCCAACTGCAAAGGAGAAGACTTAAGCGTCATTACTATGTTTGCTGCACACGACACATGTTTCTTCTCGCTTCTAAACTTTAGTCCCAATTTTTCTAGACTAACTAAAAAACACTCGTGGGGAGAGTTTGCGGTAGCGCCTGGCAATGGGTTCCAGATAAGCTGACGAGCTCTATCAAATTGTTTCGATACTTGCCGGTGTTTCGAAAAAAGTATCCTTTGTATAACAAAGTAAACAAATACAACAAACCAAATTGATTGCAACAACCTAGGTACACCCAACCACCAATCCAGCATTCTATACCCATGTTGATGAAAATCAGCACAGAACATCATATACTTCTAAGGAGTGACATACTAGGGAATACATACCCGGTTGACCGCTCCACGACGTAATTCGCTACATAAAGCCCGATGAAAGTGGCCCACAGAGAATAAACGGGAGATATGTTGTCTGAAGCATCGACACAAGCCTCATTGCACACCATCTGGAGTCCAAACAAGTCGTCGATAGTCAGAATACACTGGAATATGTATACTGTAACTACCATATCCATCTGTTCTAGGTGCATGTATCAAAATTAAAGGCAACATAAAATTCACTGTGAAACAAGATTTCCATCATCCATGGACGTCCCTACGATAACTAAGGCTTTAGCTAAGATGTTCTCAAGGCTGATGTTAATGTTGAAATCAAGGATACGGGTTGTTAGTTACTTATATAACAACAGGCATCGCTAGTTCATGACGACATTCTCTCTGTCAGATGATACGTGACTGAAGATGATCGATCTTCACTAGAAAGAGAAGTCATGTAGTTTGTACTCATTAGTATTAGACTGTTATAACATGATCAGAATTCAGTAAAATGACTACTCCAATAGGACAGAAGCAAAGCAGATAAAGATCTTCACCTCCCCGTAAAGCACCCACTTCGAAAAGACGGGATAATCGCGAGCTGATCCTACTGGACCAAGCCAGTTGTTGCAGACTTGCTCTTTCACTTCTTGCATTTGGGGCCAGCCTCCCCAACTTGTCAGGTTCCAACTTCGCGCATCTTCGAACAGTAGACTGCTTGACCACTGTCGGCCCATTGACTTTGCTTTGGCTTTCAAGGCGGCTGTATTACCACAATGACTGTAAAATACACAACATGCTATACTCAACACCTGCAAAACAAATAGCAAGTCCGGCAGTGGTCCAAGTGAGAAACGATTCTGAAAAGAAATGACACATGGACCAGCTGGTCAATGTTGACGAGATTCCAATATTAAATGACTCAAGAAACCCACACTTTCACACTGAACGGCTACTCTTAAAGGTAGGTGGACGAGTAGCACAATATTAAAAGAAAAGAAGATCTTACGGTGCTGTTCTGCAGAATAGTTAGAATCTCAGGTCGTTTTCCTGCTAGCCGGGCAGCTACCCCAATGTACCAAAGACCCAAGAATGTGATGTGGAATGCCAGTAGAGCAAGGACCGAGGCAAGGAACAATGTCAAGAAAAGTGACAAGTTCATGCGTATATCTACTCCCATCGTATGAAAGCTTGGGAGGTGATAAACAGCAGCAATAAGTAGCCACGCGACATACCTGCACCCAGACAAGAGACTCGCAATTAAAAGTTTTATTACAAAGACGTTACAGTACTTAGTGGATAAATAATCCTATCAATCTCAGTTATATACTCTATGCGATATGCACAATATAGGCATCGTGATTCGCTGCCCTACTCCTGAACGATTGCCCTCCACGCTAGTCATGTTGCCTTTACTCTGAGTAGTCATGACAAATATACCACAATACAAAGACCAGCGCGTAGCCTAGACGACATTGCTTAATGAGGTCTACATACATTCTAAATCAGATGATTGCAGCGAAACAAGTTCGTCGAAAAAATCACAAGCCAGTCACAACGAGTACAACAGTATCTTACCAACGACTGAAGTTGGAATAACTTGGCTGGATTGTTCGCCCAAAGAAAGGCGACGAGAAGAAATAGAAGAAGCCTAAAAGAAACCCGTAAATTGACCACCATTTGATATTCTTGTCCAGCTTGTGCACAAGTGTGTGCATGTTGTCAGTTGAGATGAAGAACAGGGATGTCGCCAACACCGCAAAGATGGCATGACGAGAGTGTTCGTGAGGATACTCATATTCTTGAATCAAGATCGTCTTCACTGTTTTCATGATGGGCAATCCTTCTAATCGCCTCCGAAGAGCTACACTGTAATCGCTATTCTCCCTTGCCCAACTTCGATGTAGTGTGTGAATCACATCAAATCTGAAAGTTTCATGACACCCACACAAAAAAGGGACGGTCAATACCCGCTAGGAATCGTTTCAATAACGAGATTTTTTAGACTGCATTGCGAGGTGTGATTTTCATCGTACTGTGCTTGTGAAGCGTCCTATTGAGGGCATCCTAAGGGTTTCAAATCATTACTAACTACTCAGCAGATACTTGTAGAAGAGGCATTTGATTGTTGCGCGACACATCGAAGACATCTTCTTGTCAGACATGACCGGCATCCTCGTTAACCTGGTACGTGATGAATTTAGTACCACCCATTTCGTTTAACACAAATTCCGCCATAACCTTGTCAGTAATTGAGGTACGAAAGATTGTAGCAAATTCTACAAAGCTACATCTTTATCTTCCAACCCTGGACGAGTATAATAGAACATACAGGTTTTAATCCCTGATCTCCTTATTTTGTGAACCCTCATGCGCGATATATGCTCAGCTCGTCTTCCTATCTCTGACCCACAGTACCACTCACTGCCCAGTTTCAAGCAGAAGGCAGATTCCATCGTGTAAAGATCATGTCGGTGATTTTTCAACACAGTAGCGGCAAATTAAGCCGCAGATTTAACCAGCGAATCCAAATCCAACCATAAACCTCAGATGCAGACTACGAATGGTCATGAGCGCATTAATGAAACAGCAAAATTTGTTTCATGGAGAATTCTGCAGCAATTTCTCAATCTTCTATACAAATAAGCTTGCGAGAGGGGTAGGCTCGTGTGCAGCAACGAGTTCCTAACAGATGTTTTCAAAGAGAAATTTGGTTTTCCATCTTGCGTCCAAAACATCCCAAATTTGCTGGGAAAAGACAAATCTATCTTACTTTCAGCAACACATGAACGTCAACGTCTTACATACCTGGCTCACAGAAGGGACGGTCAGCGATCAATCTAAGGAATTGGCGAGGCAGCCTTGGAGTTCCAGAACACGCTCCAATAGTAGAGCCGGAGACCACTAGTCCAGCTGCAATGCTTAGAAGAGCCCATACTTCAAAGCGACAGCGCATCTACCAAGTCTAGAGCAGAAATGGAACGTTCCTTGCTCGTCCCGTTGGTCCTGCAACTGAAGCAATCCACCACACTTTCCACATCGCCGTCCTCCGCACACAATCTCTCAATCTCTGGGATCGAAATCACAGCGCAATTGGCTTCCTCACCGAGCCATGTTCCACTAGAGGAATTCTCCTCCCTCTCGACTATTCTTTTTCTCCACTCTTGTCTCCAATCGATGCCACTGCCTCTGCTCCTACTCCTCCTCCTCCTCCGCTTTTCCTGAACATCCTCTCTACAAAGGCACAATTTCCCTCCCCTCCCCTGCCCTCCCCGCGCTGCCCCGTCCCTCGCCAGCAAAAGAAAGTTCGTCGCCCTCCTCACAAACGAATCATCATAACTTGAATCCGAATCAACCTCTCAGTCACTGCCTTCGCTCCACCTCTCCCTTCCAGATTCCCGACCCTGTCCCCGTCTCTGTCTCTCTCTCGCTCTCTGTCTCTCTCTTGTTCTTTCATGCCTGCCCTCCCCTTCCCTCGTACGCCTTGTACTCCCTGCCATCCCGCCTCCCGCCTTCGCTTGATGCTCCGGCAATCAACCACAACCGGGCCGCGCTAACTCACAAGGCAGCGGCCGAAGCGCATTTCCGTCTAATTTGCCGTGGAGACGATTAATGCGGTGACGTATGTGAGCGCCAGAGAGGCGGGGCGACTGGAATTGTTTATCGGGGACAGCCAGACGACAAATTGTGCCGACGCAAAAACTGGCCGGTTCCCGCTTTTTAATTCGCCCACGTCAAGCTTCATGACACGTGGCGCCGGCGGCCCTTGCTGCCTGCCCGCCACGTGTTGCGGGAGGTTCTGAGTCAAAAAGGCAATTTAATCAGGGGAGGGGAAGAGAACGGCTTCTTCCCTTGAATCTATCTAACCGTAGACGGAGCCGGGATATTCTTGGCCGATTCCTAATAATATTCAGAAAAGGTGCCGTCGAAAAGGGTCAGCGTGCAGACACACTCTCGTTCGCCTCTCTGCGTTCACTCGTTTGATTCCTATTCCATTCCTTTTGAACTGAAGCCTGCTACGTGGTGTACCTTTCTCCTGTAAGCCGGTTCCAGTCGGACCGGCTGGGAGCTTTTGCTCCCCTCGCCCGTCGTCAGATCCACTCAAGGTCCAACTGTTGCGTCGATCCATGCTTTCGTAGACAGGTGGGGAGCAAGAGTTACTAACCATGGCACGATTGCTCTGCTCATGAAAACTGATCGAATCTGGGTTGTGATTTCTTGTGGTGTTAATCCGAAGTTGGCAATGTGTGAAATTCAGGTGCATGCTGCATCTCGGAGTGATTGCACGCGTCCCAGGTCCTTAATGTATGAAGTGTGCACTCCTGAGACTTTGTTTAGCCCTGAAGAAAAATTGTTTTGTTTTTTAAATATTTTATTGTCAAGGTCTTAGTAACGTTATGGCGTTGATCCGGACTTTCACAAGACAGCTCTTCATTGTGAAGTATGAAGCAATGTGTTCTCTATCTTTGTCTACCTGAAAGACTTTCCAAACGTGTTGGTTTGACAATCATAATTGCGTTTACTGTATTTCAAAACTGGTGTCATTGTCTCACTGGGAGGAGGCAGAGTGTGAAAGTTATTCCCATCGAGCCCTCTCAACAGGCGGCCATAACCTAACAATGTCCTAGAATCGACTCTCAACTTCATCACGGGCTAAGCCAGAAGTGACAGTGAATTTGCAAAAAATTGGACAGCTCACGAGTGGAGTTTAGTCTCTTTCATGAAGCAAGGTAATAAAGATAATTACGGGGCAGTTCGGCTCATTAAAATCTAATGTTTAATCGACAGAGATTGAATCAAAGGACAGGCCATCCATGACAAGGCTCTAATTTGGCACAAATTATCCGCACATATTTGATGATATGCTCATTCGATTGACTTTCAATGCAAATAAAACTAATATACACTTGTAAAAGATGGGTATCTATCTTTTGCTGAAAAGAAAATGTATTCAACAACTTTATGTGTTAATATATTCATGTCAATTGGTCTAATATCGTACACCGTTAATTGACTTGCAATGGATAAATTGTGTACATGTTCAGTAAGCTGTGATTATCACAATTACCTTTGGTACCAGAGTTTCACTGAGGTTTTTTGTTTTACGCCTTAGTTTTTGTCATTGATTTACACACAAGTGTTAGGATCTTACTTTCATTAATCTCGATGTGACTAAGCAATCCGATCTTGACGCTTTTCCTTGCAAAAAGCTCTATTGAGAGTTATTAAATGAAAAGTTTGCAAACTCTCAACTTTTTTCACAAGATTATAAATTCTTAGATGGAATTGACAACTTGCTTCCTTTGGCGCCACTAGGGAAATCCAAAAGTTGATCACAAAACAAAGACGAACTTCCTGCCAAAATTACTACAATAGTTCTTGAACACCTGTTGACATTGAAATCCTTTTTGAGATCCATCCGCATGTTAGACCTTTACCTCCACATCACTTTGGAACTCAATCCATCCTCGCAATCAGACTAACCCACATTATCATGTCGAACATAATTCAATGACGCAGTGTGGTATTGCAATTTTCTCATTTTTTCGGAAATAATGTAGTTTGGGAAGTAAACACAAGTAAGTTTTAACTTTTGGAGCAGTAGTATTCAGTAAAGGAGAGAATAATGAATTTTAATGTAGATGCTGAATAGGAGTAGGAAATATGAAGGATACCCCTAGATAGAACTTGGTTTGCTGGTTTCAATGAGTTCAAGAATGGAAGGAATGTACCAATGGGGCCTGAGCTATGAAGAGAAGAGGCGAAGAGCCAATTTCCCCGAAGGCCTAGTATAGCCTTTGGCAGAGAGTATTCGGCCTTCGGCATTGATGCCTTCAAAGCAGAGTATAACATCGGGTACCCAAACCCGAACACCAAACATAGGGTATGGTCCTAGATCTTCAGGCACGGTTCGGATACGGTTCCGGTTTTGGGTTGACGTGACGTTATGGTGGCTATTTATAATATGAAGGCGCAAAATTGCTGATGGCGGCCATTAGCAGTTTTGGTGGCATCATCAGATGTGTGGCGGGTGGCGTACTAGAATCATAAACATGGAGTAAAGAAAGAAGGTTATTAGACTAGGCTATTGACTATATCACCATAAACCCGGAGTAAAGAAAGAAGGTTATTAGACTAGGCTATTGACTATATCACCATAAACCCGGAGTAAAGAAAGAAGGTTATTAGACTAGGCTATTGACTATATCACGTGAATTGCTATAATGTATATTGGCCATCAGTGGCGGCCATTAAATCGTTCCCGTTTGCAATGGGACAATCGGCATTGCGCACCTATACTATAAAAATATATCAAACAAATTTGTGACAGTGCATTTATCCACCAATCGTGATGTAGACTTACTTCTCGGCAGCGCTGTCCAAGCCCAAGGATGTCAATGCTCTCAAGGCCAGAGTCCAGGCTGATCTACTCAAGCCGATGCCGTGTTCTTCGGGTAATAGGCGCATAGCAATTGTCACATGTCAACTTTTTGGAAGCAATTCTCAGACGTCGTCGCGCTGGCCACAAAGAACCTCGCCAAGTTCAATGATTCAATCCTCGTTGCCTGTAACACCTGCATGTCGGTGTATGTGTTCAATTCGAAGAATGGCACGTCAACGTTGGCTAAACACGTATGTTCGACGATAATCAACAACCAGTCATTGACAGCTTTCTCAACACACAGAGCACCGACCCAGGCCGAGAAGAGGCTCGTCGTGGCTACAACTGCCGACATGTGTACCGAGGACATCCTTCCGTTCCACATGGTTAAGGGCAGCGGGTTCAAGGCTTACACGCATACAATCCTAGACATCGGCGTCAATTCCTCGCATGGCTTGAACGTCGTCGAACTGCTCCCTACTCCAATCACATTCAGCTGCAACATCAACGATCGAGCTGCTCTATGGCGCAAGACATTGTCGACCGAGATAATCAAGCACGTCGAGTCAGACATTAAGATGGCGAGTACAACCGATATCTGGACCGACAATATCAATAAGACATCGTTCTTGTCTGTCACGAGCCACATGATCAACTGTGATTTTATTCTGCATCATCGCATCTTGGCGTGTTGTCCGATCTTCGGTAGTCACAATGCTTGCAAAGTCTTGACCAAGATCCGATCTATACTAGAAAAAAATTTCTATCACGCTTCCTGCTAGTGTGACCGTTGTCCGCAATCAAGGGTCCAACATGCACGCACAAGATGATATACCGAGCTATTATAACTAGTCCGCCTGCATCGATCACATCATCGCACAATTACCACGACCGTGTTTGCCAAGACAACAAAGCAAGTCGGCGGCAAGAAAACTGCCCCATTCTATAGGCATTATGAATCTGCTCCAGATCTATTCGATCTGATCGATCACTGCAAGGCGCTCGCCACACATGTGAAGCAGGCTGGTCTTCAAAAACAGCTGGATAAGACGATCAAGTAGGAGAACGTGACCCGATAGAATTTCCTGTTAAAGTGTCTGAGAAGCATCGCAGATGCTTACAAGCAGCTCGTGATGGCGTTGATCGTCAAGAAGTCGGCGAAGATCGCACAGATTGACAAGAAGTTGATGCTAGAGCTCATCACGTTACTTTAACCTTTCCATGAGGCGACTCTCGCCATGAAGTTATTCAAACAGCCAACGCTTAAACGCGTGTGCTACTTCCGGCACAACCTACTCCTTCATAGCGATATGGTTACGAAGGACGTGTACTGCACAGCGAGTGACGGCATCAATAGTCTGATTGCAAAGGACTCGCAACACATTCTCACCATCAAGTCGATCATTTGACACTTAATCAAGGAAAAGTTCATCATAAAACAAATTCACGTCATCCCCTCCTTGCTTGACCCCAGAATTAAACGCCGCCTTGTGAAATACAGCTTGTCCGAGGAACAGATCGGCAAGGCTAAGGAGAATTTGAAGTCATTGATGAAAGAGCACATTCCTAAGCACGACCAAAAAGACTACGAGCGCGGTTTTGTCAAGAAGCCTAAGACAAATGATGTGCGTGATACCCGATAGTTGGCAGAATACAGCGAGGAAGATGATTCGAACGACAGCGAAGGGAAAGCAGTCGAACATATCGATAGTGTTTACCAGACTGCAATTGAAGCGCATATTGTTAATATAGAACTGGCCTAGTATTTCCTCCACAACTTCAAGTACAGCGACATCGTCATCAAAAAGCACGGTCTTCTCTTTTGGTGGAAGACTCAGCAAACCTCCTTTTCCATCCTTTCTCAAATCGTTCATTCTGTGTTAGCCATTCCTGCTTCTAGTGCTAAGTTAGAGTGCAACTTCTCAGACGCCGGCAACACCATGACTAAAAAGCAAAATTGGCTCAACCGTCAAAATTGAACGACTTACTATTTCTCCAATCTATGCTTCTGTCCCGCCGAGCTCAATAAATCCTCGAGAATTTTCTACTTCCATCGCGAAAGAAATGGGTTCGGGTAGGTTACTGGATACTCTAGATACGGGCGGGGCGGGTAAGGTTCAAAATTGCACTTTCGGATGGGTAACGGGCAGGTATAGGGAATAGTTTTACAAGAAATGTTATTCTCTGCTTCGGAGTTACCTACGAAGGACTTTCAATAATGGAAGTAAAAGATGGAGCCGCATGAAAAAGAAATTCGAATGGTGACACCTTCAATTCGGACGAGTTGACACTACCGTTGCGGCGGCAGACTACAACAGCGAGAACGCGAGTTCGCGCCTCATGTTTCACGATAACACAATTGCAAATTGACAAGCGATCGAGGTGCGAACGTTTGAATTTGCAAAAGTAGCCATGAGACAACACGGAGCAATTCAATTGACTGCGCTGAAGGTGCATGAGGTGGGATTGAGGACCTATCACAACGAGCTAATCGTCGTTAAATTTGATTTCCTGCTTTGGTAATGGAATTGGGTCTGCGCGACGATGGTCCAGAAGTGGGATGACGGAAGCGCTCCGGAGGTGGATGAACATTGAGGCAATTTCAAGAAATGGCAAATTTGGGATCGGGCGAAAGTGTTGGAAAATTGCGCTAGTGAAGACGACGATCTCACTTTTGATAGTGAGAGCGTCAAGGTAACGCGTTCCGAGGAGAAGACATACACGGCGCTGTTTAAGAAACCGTCTACCGGCAAGAATGGGTACTGGACGACATGGTACCACGATCGCCTCAAAACGAATGTAGCAGTAGCACTGATGCAGATCCTTCAATCTTCTGGGACAATCTACATGACTACTTGGCAAGTCGGCTTTGTAGAACGAGCGCTACAAGTAGAACCCATGCACTGGGCGAGGAACCTGTGGTCGGTCACGCACCAACACATTGGTGAGACTCCGGGAGTTTCGGCCAATTACTTGTAACCTTTCCTAATTAATTTCTACAAAGGTATGGGGCTATTGATCGCAACAAAGAAGAAGAAGTCTCCGCTGCAGAAGCATGCGAAAGATGGAGACGAGACTCTGGGTGCCAACGAGATCTATACCGATCAAGAAGATACTCAACTTGGCTTCCTTTCAGGGAGGGTAGAAAGACCAAGGAACAGGGTGGAAGAACGGCCGCAGAAGAGACGGAAGCTGGAGGAGGTCGCGGTTTTGGAGACGCTTGATCAACGTGTCAAAATGCGTGTCCGCCAACCGCTCCCCATCAAACTCAGAACTGCCAACGTGCGAGCTCGAACAAAGATGAAAGCAAGAAGAGTGATACTGGTGGATGGTAGCAGCACCGAAAGTAGTGTTGCGGCATCGCAAGGCCGTTTCACCTCGGCAGAATGGGAGGAATTGGAGGCAGATGTTACCCGGACGGAGGAGGAAGGACCTTCGGAGAGAGACCTTCGGTCTTCAGAGTGGAGATCTTCATCAGCGTTGGAGGGCGACGCACCGAAGGTAGCTGAAGAAAAGGAGGAAGAAATCCTGAAGCGAAATCCGGGTCTTTCAGTTGAAGCTGTGATGAGCACTCTTTTGGAGAAGAACTTTAAGTATTGATAGTGTCATCAGACATAGAGGAGTATCCAGCTTCATTGGAGGAGTTGAAAGATATAGTAGTGGAAGACATAGTAAGAGATGCTACGGTGCAGCAGTCTGCGACATCACTTCGGATGTCTACATGGACTGTCATCTTGGAGACCGTATAAGACCTTTCGGCGGAGGAAACTTAGTCGGGCGGAATCAATGGGGCAGACGTGTCATGTCAGCAAGTGGTTCCTCTACTCCGATATCTAGATGGTAAGTTGGAGAAGTATGCTGGATCATCTGATGTCTGATCTTACGTGGAGGTAGTGCGTAATAGGGTCGGATGAAAATGGCCGCAAAAGCAGTAACGGCGAAACAAGTGGAGAGCTTGACTGCAAATCCTGTAGCGGCAAAGGCTTCGCTAGAGGTGAAGGAGAAGCAACTTCAGGAGTCGGAGTCAAAGTGCGTGGCATTTCAGAGAAGGTTAGCAGAGGAGACAAAACTTCGGAAGTCTTCGGAGAAGGCATGTGAGAGTCTTCAGACTAATGTTGAGATTACCAGGCGAGCGATAGTTGACCTTTGGGATGAACATGAGGCATCTCGGGTGGCTTTCAATGAGGAGGCGCACCGCGTGGACGAATTGATGGCGGATCTGGCGAAGAGAGATCAAACGCACGCAATGGACTTGGCAGCAAAGGCGAAGGAACTGGCGGAGTGTGAAGCCGCTTAGTCTTCGGAGCTGGGGCTGTTGGAGAGATTAGAGGCCAAATGCAATGAGATGCGATCGCATCGATCTACAACAGAAGAGTAGTTGGGCGAAATGAAAGCGAAATTGCTGGAAGTCGAAGAGAGGAATCGGCAGTTGGGGGAACAGACGAACGACACCTTGACTAGGAAGGTGAACGGGTGCCTATGTGGTTTTGTGATATGGCAGATAGAGACTCATAAGTGGCTGCAGTTGAGGGATCTGGAGCGTCGTCACTCGACGCTCCAGATCACCGTCGTCACTCCACGGTGATTGCCTGTAGTGTAGGAGGGCCTCGAAAATTAGCTAGGAAGATAGATGCGTTTCTTTTCAATTTGGACGAGAGGAAGGAGAACCTGGAATTGGAACTAGCAGCCGTTTTGCGTAGGTTAGGGATAGATAGGAATTCACATGGCGCCGCGGGCATCGCGACTGTTCGTAGCTTGGGGCATAGCGAGTGATATCACGGAGTGTTTATTAGGAATAAAGGAGCCCAGGCCTTGGGTGGATTTTCAGTAGTTAAATTTCTCAGTTTTGAGTCTACATTTTCCTTACGTCCGAGAATTAAGTGTTTGTCACCGCGCAAGAGATACTTCGCATCCAAAGTAGAAGCTTCAGTTCGGATGTTCTGAGTAACTATTGGTTAGTTCAAGATTTAAACAAATCTGTAACTGGAAACTCTGCGGAGCTATTTGAGTGTATACTTTGAGAATTTTCACACCTGAATACCAAGACTAGTCGCCATCTGTCTATTCGGACTTAACAATTGTAGTATTTCTGGCACTCAATCTATCTCTGCAGCGTTTGATTGGAGTAATTTCAGGATTTGAGTGTGATCTACACTGCAATGTGTTACCTTCGGACTTAACAATTGTAGTATTTCTGGTACTCAACAATTACAATATTTCTAGGAGTAACAGACGCCTGATAATTCAAACTGACATACATGAAATTTCATTATAAGTTTACCATTATGGTGCATTTAGATAATTATCTATCCTTGTACGCGGGATTCTTATAATAATTGTTTGTGATACCATAATCTCACAGAGATGTGCACCCCGCTGGAATATTGATTATATCTCCTACTAACCAGTGCGCCGACGTGAGTGTTCCTTTTTCCTCTTTACTTTCTGGAGAGTCGAAGAGGAAACGGATTCCAACATAGAAAAATAGAAGCAAACTTCGGAGTTCCCAGTGAAGTATGTGGCAGGATATGAAATCTACGTCTGATTGGAAACTTCATGTCGGCCATAACCCGGAGATCTGCGTATGAGAACAATGAGCATGTGACGTGACAAGAAGAGATGTGAAGTGCACTGACCGACGAAGGTTAATAAAAAACCAGTAATATTCAAAGCGGTATTCACCGCCCACAGTTTCCCCGGCAGTCCCTGGTATAGCAAGCATCAATAAAAATCACGTTCGTAGTGAATGGTGTGGCAGTATTGCCAAAAAGTACAAAGTGATGTTAGAAGCTAGTCAAGAAAACAACCTCCATCCCTCGGGTGCAACTGCGAGGTAATGGTACTATTTGTAAATTCCAGCATCCTGAAGAATTGTTACAGTTTGCATTAGATGAGTGACTTTGGACCCTCGCATGTAGTGGAAGTACATTTTGCATTACTTATTCACTCAATAGTTCAGAATGGCATTTAGATTTAGTAGCAGAGTAGTCAAGCCCCGGCCATTGCCCACTCAAAAAATAAACTAGTCTCATAAGTTACGGCCATGTCTTTACATTATTGAAAATTCAGTACGCGAACGAAGTGGACGACTGCATAATGTTCCGGTTTAAGTGTGATGTATCCACGAAGTCCTAAAGAGAACCTCACAGCAATTAACAAACACCCTAACACATCAGGTCTAAAATCGTTGTTCCAAGATGTTTCCTTCAAGCTACTCTTAGAAACATACAAACAACCTAGATACCGACAGACTAACTACACAAGTTAAACGCTATGAATGAATACAGACACTTCCCCGCCCTTGGTAGTACACAAGTATTTTCCAAGCAGTTAAAAAAACAATTGCACGACTAAAATGGACTTATTGACCTCTTGTCCATTAGACACCAAAGATCTCATGAAAAAACCCAGAAAAGAGAAACTTTTGCGTCTCCTAGTTTCGTAATCAATCTTGTCACAGTCAAAAAAGACCATCTCTGCACTCAGGTTTAATGATATGTAAACTCCGTACTACAAGGGTTCTAGTCCTCAGTATCCTAGGTTCTCATATACCCTAAATATTGTCAAAAATGTACATCCAACCGCACCAAAAAGTTTGTGTGAACTCCCCAGCTTAAATGCAGCTACAAAAATTGTAGAAAAAATAAAACATGATGGGAGAGTAAATCTAAATTTGAACTTCCATCGGGTGACTGGAATTGACACACGCTAGCTGAGCCTACCAAGTAACCATAATGAAACCACTATGGTTGTCTCTCTTTCCTCTTTTGCACTGGATGTAGTATGATATGAACCCCACGAGATACGCCAAAGGTAACAAGTCTGCGCCACAAACCCTCCTTTCTTAGTTGGTGAAATCACAAAGAAGATCCTTTCGCATCAATAACATTCTCTTCATGACACTTCCTCTTGATTCAAAAAACTCCACAAATTGATAACCTAAAGACATGCCGGAGAAAAGTACGTCCTTGCATCTTCAGGACACAGGCAGTTCATACTGCATATCGCATGCGGTACGCGGCATGAACTGGTGTTACTAACACAACCCTTTAATAGACACTTGACATGGTGGACATCCCCAAGATGTATTTTGGAGCCTTGAAAATTCGCGCTTCACATACTTCAGTCAAGAACTCAAGGCAGTGCAATGTATACCTGCACATCGCATGCTGTGTGCATGGTCATACTTGCTCAACACTCTACTCACACTGGACATTGTAGGCATTCCGAAGTAGAATGTCAAAATTGACTACAGAGATCATTCAAAGGATATAATATTTCATACTCGACTTATACGACAGCAATATCTGGCAGATTCAGCTTCATCAATCATAATACAAGTTAGAGCAGTTGCAGCAGAATCATCGGAGTGTCGAGTCTGCTTACATTTTGACCTACGGGAGCAGAGCTTGCGAGTATCATTTCCTGGACAACCCAAGTATATAGGATGGATATGACATTTTATGTAGCTGAAAAATTGCACTGAACCCCTCAAACTTATCACAAGAAACCTACAGAAGAAAAAGAAAGCGATTGGAACCAAGAATATTACAACTGGTAAACTTGTGAAGACCCAAACTTTTCCACCATCCCAGAGTTTGTAAAGCTTAGCATGAATTCGCATAAAGCATGGATCCCTCAACACATTTTAAACCCCACAAATGAAAATCACGTAGTTAAAACTTATCACGAACAGTTAGAGAACCTATAAGCCTTGGATAATTGCGCTCTCACACACTTCAGTCAAGAACTCACGTGAAATCGACGGCCGTCTTGCCTCTGCGCAAATGTTCAACATCCAGGCCAAGCTGTCATAATTCAAACAGCGAACAAAATACTAAACCCAACTGGGATAAAATGGACTAAGATTAATAGGAACCGGAGCCAGTTCTGGGCTAGGTAGAAGAACCGTCATTGCAGCTTAAAGAAGGTGCAGAGAACAAAACAGGCAGGGGTACTGCTTCTCGTCCAGAAGATTCACAGAACAATCTGGGAAGCTATAGAAGAAGAAACGAAAGGACGTGAACTGCAGGGTGCCAAACAACGATGAATCCGTGAGATGGAATCGGCAAATAGGAAGCGGTATTACTCAGGTTCAAAAGTTTATCATTTACCAAGGGAAAAAAGCCTACATACCGCACCAAGACCAACGGAGTTGGAAAACTATGTTGAAAGACCTACGTCCCTTTCCAAGAAAGGTGGCCAGGAAAATAGTTGTTTTGTATCACAGCAAGCATACCAGAACAACCTAAAGAGCAACAATAATTCAACACATAGCTTGGAGTGTACAATTCCAGGACCTAAAACTTTCTATCGATCTTGGACATGCCCGGTTCAAGCTCGTTACAGAAAAAGTAGTGCATGAACAACCTCGGGGGCTGAGCATCCCGAAGAAACTCAAATCTAGGTCGAGCAGATCAGCTGTCAGATCAACGTTTCTTACATAATCAGGTGAACAGAATGGATGGACCAGTCCGTCGCAAGAAAGTCCTCCAGTGACAATAAACAATATTTATACTTGACGGGAGGCGTAAATTTCCCGTCAAGTAGACTCGGCTGCTTTATCAGTGGATACCGAGGAGCAGAGGTTTCTGCTGTAGACCGTGCGGGTGCTTAGGATAAGTCAAGGCCCAACAGACAAGGAGAAGACGATAGCTCTTACCTCAAGCGTCATGCTCACTGTCGCTAACGCATACAATTCGGCCAAGTCAAGACCCTGGATAACAGGCACCTCCCGGGAAGGACAAGTACCTGGCCGGCATTCAAAAGACTAAATAGAAGATGATTACATTTAATGTACCTGGGCGATAAAGGGGTGAGGGAGTAGCACTAGTGGAGGAAAAATTCATGGCTAATATATTTTAACAGTGATGGCATCAAGAATGTAGCAGATGGTAGAGGTCGTACCCGCAAAATAATGCTTTCATTCCAATTCCCACATAAGTCGCATGGATTTAAGTCGATCCCAGGATCCACTCTGCTACCGTAGCAAAGAGCTTGCCTCGGGGTTCACATGCTGGATCTGTTACATAATTGATACGGTTTGTTAAAAGAACGAACCACCCTCGTCTATTCTAAAAACAGAAGCTAGGACTATTGGAGAGCTTTCACATACCGCTTGTGCAATTTCGTCATAACGCGTTGAGGACGACATGTTCTACAATTGCAAACATGGATGACCACAATCCTTACTAGTAGCGTATCATTATCAGGTTCCCATCACACCCTTGAAATTTCTATCACCAATCATTCAGTTTGCTACCCAAACTCATTTCTCTATTGTGGTACGTCGTATGCATGATATCTAAAGCCCTTGCCGACCGCGGGTGCTGCAACCATTCATCGTAAAGGCCCTTCACTACTGGATTATTGAAAGGATCCTTCACGTCCACCTCTTTCAAGTACACAGATTCTAGGTTTTGTATCAATTCCTTGGCGGACTGCTCCTTCTTCGGCTTTATTTGTCCACCACCATTCAAACAACCGGCAGGACATGCCATCACCTCTACGAAATCATACTCAAACTTTCCAGTCTTGATTTTACGCACAACGGTCTGAATGTTTCGGAATCCGTAAGCCAAAGCAAATCTTAAAACGACTTTTCCATCATGCTCCAGAGTGACTTCTCGAAAATCGGTATTTCTTAAAGTTCTATAATCCAGTTGGCCAGTAATTTCCTTCCCGAACAACGTCCTAGCTGCATATCGAAATATTGTATCCACATATCCACCCGACCCTCCAAGAACACCGTAAAGATGGTCACCCTCGTCTAGGTTGGTAAGTAGCTTGTCAAGAGGAGCCTCCTCTAGTGACATAAATTCCACTTGTTGTGACTCCAACATATCCAATACTTCTCCAGAAGTAAGAACAGCATCCACCTCAGCAATCTGCAGCTGACTTTCACTCTGAGCTCCATCTACTGCAAATAGAAAGTCATCGCGTGAAGCCTCCAACTTCTTGTCATAGCAAGGCATCACTGTCACGTGATATATATTATCTGGCCTAATTCCCAACATCTTCCAAGCATGTCGTTTGATGATAGCTCCCATCACCTGTTGAGGACTTTTGACGGTGCTGATAAAAGGTAAAATTTTGGAGCCATGAGTCTTTTCGGCATAGCAAACCCAACCTGGGCATGCGGATGCCAGAACTGGTAAGCTGCGAGGTTTCTTCGAACTTGTGTCCTTTTGCAGACCATGAGACTCTCTGTACAGAGACACAAATTCTTCACACGCCTCTATCAGAGACAAGTCCCTACTACAACTGGTGTCAAATACGGCCTTTACACCTAGAGATTTAAAGTAGGTGGTCAACTTCTTGAAGGCTTGCAGAGCAGTTAGATTGTAGTGAGAAGCCAGGGATGCTCGGGATTGAGGAGACAAGGACACAATAACAGCGCTGTCCCCAGATTTGAGGCGATTCAAAAATTCTGTCGTGCTTTGCTGCTCCAACATGACGGTTTCTGCCGAGGTAATACATCCGCTACAAGCCAAACAATCGTGCAAGGTAACTCTAACTGGTTCGTCAGTATCCTTCAAAGTTTGATCAAACCGGGCGGCCGGTTTGCGCTGCAGTTGAACAAGTCCCTTCTGTACAGGTTTCTCATTTTTTGATAAGGTGACCACACAAGCCTGAGATGGGGCGATGAAGTCATTGAGATTTGCTAATTTCAAGGCCCCTGAGAAATTGCTACTCATGGCGCCCACCTCCTCACAGCACCCCTGGCCACCGCCAGTATCAGATACACAACCTCTGTTATCAAAGCACAACTACAAAATATCAGGAAAAAACAGAAACTTCATCCCCAGTTTTTCAGCTTATTTTATTAGCTCCGCCTAGCGACCTTCCGATCGAGCACCGTAAATAACACACTTCTAACAGCTCACAGAAGTTAAAACCTGCTTTGTTTTACCTCGGATCCCACAAAAACTATAGCTCCTTTAACATTATCTTCTCGACAGATCATTCTACCGCGCATGAATGAGAGAAACAAGCTCGACTCTTAAAGACGTGAATCGGACGTAGGCAAGATACAGAACTACATGCGGATTGTAAACGCCCAAGTGAAACCAGGCCAAAATACCAACCCAATTTACAGCTACAGCACGGGCCATCATAAATCATGAACAGACTCCAAATCACAATTGACGAATTCACTACCAGAGCGAGTTTTCGAGAGGCCGACTTCCAAAAGCCCGCAACATAACATCACATCCGATTTCGGAATTCTGACCTGAATTATGAGCTTGTAAAATGCGACAGATTATCGCCCTCCGCAGCTGTAGTCGTAAACCTGCTTCAGAATTTCCGTGAGAGTGCAGCCTTTCCGCTTCGCAGTCCGATTGATCCTTGAGTAATCGCGCCTCTCTGTGAACCCGCCCGCGCTCTCTCGCTCTCTCCGTTATACCTCAAGGAGTGACTCATCGAAGTGGGTACAATCTCATGTCCCTATTTGTGATCAGCTACGTGTGCAACGGATGGCGACTTCCTACCAGGTCACCGTAATCGTGGTTCTAACTCTTGCAGGAAACCACATCCAGTCACGACTCCGACATGACCTGTAACTGAGTAGGTCGGTGAGATTGGATCACAAGCGTCGGTGGTAAAGCAATTGTCTGATTGCTGAGAAGGAGAGCATGTAGCACCTTCGCTTGTACCTTCCTTATTTCCATACATATCAATTTATTTGGTATCTTGGTCTATATTGGGTCTTGGTTATCCTTATGACATTACTACTTGAATACTTTTAAAGGTACATTATATATGTACAACTTTAAATACGCAATTTATATTTATTATTTTCAAATTGATTAAAGAAATTCTTTAACCTAGCTACTTCTAATTCTTTACCTCGTAATGAACATCTGCTATTTATTTAGTGTTATTATATTAGCTCATAAGTGATGAAAATGTGGATAGATATGATCCTTGCGAATTAAATATAATTTTTCTAATTTATTTTTTTATACCTAATACCAACATTACCTCATGTGATCATTCCATACTCACTTTACATCCCAAATATTGTATATGATGATCATAATAAAAACACTTACATATATTCGTATATTAGTATATATTAGTATATTAGTAATCTCTACTATACTTAGTATAGTAGAGATTCTCAGTAGTAGATAGCTCTCATGATCTTAAAGTCATATGAAAAAGTTTTTATATCTTTATATAGTTTACGAATAATATAAACGTTGACATGCAAAAAGATAAATAAATCTAGTTACAGTTATCACAAAATATCATATGGAAAATTTTATATTGTTTGTACTATGTAGTTATGATTTTAGTGAGATTTATTTTTCATATATATTTATGAAGAATTAAATAACTTACTTCAACTAATAATATTTTAATTATAGTAAAAATATGAAAAGCAAAATGTATCATTTTTAGGCCATTTTATTATCAAAGACTATATTTTGTATTATTGATTGGCATGCATCACATCAACAAGAGTACGGTCTTCACATTACAAAAAGATATGCTAATATGAATTGTGTCATTGCTATTGCATGCAGATTTTGTATTGCATTTGATCACGAGTGCAAAGTCGATGCAAAATGCTCAAAAATGATCATCAATAAGACTTGTGATCAAACATTACTCCGAGAACTATTGCATTCATCTCAAGAATGAAAATACACTTCGTTGGGAGAAGTATTTAACCCTCTTTAAAGAAAGTAAGCTGGTTTATTTTGACATCGGGATGTACTTTGTTAACACAATTTAATCACATCTTGAACAAAACACAGAACATGTGACCTATATCATCGATAAGATCATCATTGATGTCATAATTGGAAAAATGTTATGGAATCTAAAGATACTAAAGGTCAAACCTTCAACAACGCCATGCATGTTTTCACGCTCAATCTTGACGCAGTTAATTATTCTGTGACGATGAAGATCTCAATTACGTATCATCTCGCAATCAAGTAAGATACCATTGGTAACAGTCTGTAGCAGACTGCATTGTCATTCCATGTGACAAAAAAAGTTGCAATGCTCTTCAAACTCAATGAAATATATGATTTGAAGATTGCTACATTTTACTCGTCCAATGAAGTGCTAACTTTTAGATCATTGCTATTAAATTGCATGGTGTGAGCTTTTTTGATTACGCTAAATGACTCCACTTCCATGGATATCTCAAACATAGAGGTTTGCGTTCATTTTGTTTGGCGCCATTACCTCTATAACTTGCATCTCATTTTACGGATCTCATATTGATTGTCATTGTTTAGATCTGTGCAAATTAATCCACGTATTCTTAACTAACTAGAGGAACCAATTGATTGATGCATCGTTTGAGAGATCTCAAAACATAATTGATTATGATGCCGGTGTTATCACACGGCTGCAACTGTATTTACTACAAAAATTTATTTGTTTGTGATTTCTTCTTTGACATTTTGCTACAAAATTCATACTTAAATTTCAATGAGTATGCATGATATTTGACACTAATATATATGGCTTTGCACTGCGCAAACCGTATAAGATTAATTGAAAGATGAAGTCAACTTGTTGCAAGACCTCTGCGATTTGATGTCACGAGTAGCATCACGAGTGTCATACACACGACGGTAATATAATTCTAAGATCATCGTATAAGATTCAATAAAAAAAAAGTTCAAAAGTTGATCATTGAGTTTATGTTCATAATCAATGCATGTCACAACTTTGACGTTGACAATCTGGACAAAATTTTTCATGTCATCTGTAATGATTGCTCTACTTTTTACATTTACATCATAGGTTTCATTGAAAATCATGGTCATTTTGCTTCGATGACAATCAATAGTCTCATTAAACTAACTCGGCTGTTATTTTTTCATAATGTTGCTTTCCTTATTTTTGACATCGTTGAGTAATTTATGAATTGCCTAGCCATGCGAGATGAACGTGGTTCTAGCAACGATCGCGACTGTCCATCATTGTATACTTTTGAACTTGTGAAGTTTAAATATCATGAAATCAGGCGCCTTAAAATTCAACAGAAGTCTCGTCTTGACCGTAGTTGAAGTCCTTTTCATATTGACTGAATTGGATCCTTGCAAAGCTTTGCATCATGTACAAGATTGTTTCATTGTGTTTGGAAGTCATCGATTCATGTGTTTGTTAAACGAAGCGTGGGCATTGCTTGTCTGTCACACCGTTTCACTTTTCTAATTGATTTTGTTGGTGGACTCGGCTCACTTCCCAACACGTCGTCAATTGAGAGCAAAATCTTGAAGTTGAAATTTTGGAAGTACTTATTCAACCTATCATTGACTGATTTTTCCCTCGAAATGTTTTATTAATGCAAATTGTATGACATTTTGTGCACAATGAAGCAATAGATTAATTCTATATTAATGTTTTTAACCTTCTGTTAGTGGTAATGCCTAATCATCTTGGGCATTGTGCCTAATTTACTTCAGATTAGACACTTTATGCATGTGCCTAATCTACAAAGTACTGATTACATCACAACATTAATATGATTTTCATAAATTTTCATTATTTTTCTAAGTGAATTGATTTGATGTCATTGTTTACAAATCGTTTAATAAATAATTTTAGCATACATAACATACATGTTTGTTGAAATAACAAGTTAACTTTTCAAACTATCTTTATTTTCATGAACATTTAGATTGTCTACGATTAAGAACTAAATGGTTATAATAATATTTCTAATCTACTTGAATTGTGATTAGACAACCAAATCAAAATGAGTTGGAACAAAATTTCTACAAAATTTTTGGTATTATAGATAACATATTACTGAAGAAGCAGTTTAACATATCTAGTAGTTTCAATGATTCATTGCACTTTTCATCATGTTAATTGAAATGACATTCATCTTCAATTTTAATGATTTGATATATTTGAAACTATGTTAATATCCAAGAAAGAGAAAAATTAAGTTGTGCATCATGCACTTTAGATGTATCTTCTAGTTGCACATTTTTTTTGACAAGTATAAACTTGTTATATTTAGTATTGTTATAATTTCAAAAATTGAATTTTTTTTATATATTTTAAATTCTAATATCAAAATATCAATATCTATGATTTGGAAGTGATGGAATAGTTGTTGACTCGGTTGAGAGACAACCTAATTTGAACTACTTTTTGTATTACAAAACCTATTCATAATAGTACATTGGTATACTCAACATTTCGTTCTTCAACCTAAATCAAGAACATTGACACCTTAATATACTAAATTGCTTGTTGGTGTTATAATGAAATATTTATTTCTTGGACACATGCATTAACAATCTATGCATTTTGATATGACAATATATGTTACTATACTACATATGCACTACGTAGACATTGTATCTGGATTACAATCAATCCTTGTGCTCTTGACAAGAACATTCAACAAAGTTTTATGGGCAGATAACCCACGTCACATGTTCTCTTAATGTTTCAGACATGGACTACTCATGTTCATAACGAAACAAACTTGGACACACTCGGCACATGTTCTCTTAATGATTCAGACATGGACTACTCATGTTCATAACGAAACAAAACTTGGACACACTCGGCACATGAACTTCGTTTATGGTGTCTATCCTTTTGTAGACGGTGAGAGTTGCAACACGCACGGACATCGATGAGGCAGGAGGCTATATATGAGTCAACCTTTGTAAGAAGCATGTAAATGGATGAATGGAGAAAATCGTTTGTCAGCTAGTGAGTAAAGCTGAATTTGTGGAAATCACGTAGAGAATACCAATGATACAATCAGGATAAAAATCATTTAGTACGTCAGCAACCACTGGACATACACTACGGGTATATTTAGTAAAACAGCCCAGTGAAAATCGATGGATGGAAATATGAGATGGTGTAATAGATGAAATGGGGATGGTAGTGGAGATCGTCCATGAGAATGCCTTGTGTTATGTGAAATTCTAGTAGAAGCGGATGGATATGAGGGTAAGTGTGCTATATTACAACAGATTGTAATCTTTAGAACCCTTTATAGATAAGTAAAGTCGTGACATTTGTCAAAGATCAAAGCAAGTAAAAGATAGATAATTGATTAAAAACTTCAAAACAAACACGTACATAGAGAAAGAGATCAAATAGAAGCGGAAAGATGTGTAAATATAGAAAGCGATTTTAATTTGCTGAGGTCGATGAAGAGATGTTTGATGTCAAGAGATTTTCAAAATGCTCGAACAAAACTCAAACGCCCCAATGACTCCGAAGAAGCTTCAGTAAACTCGAATAACCTAAGCAAACCCTCCACGCGCTTTCCAAACGCCATAAGAAGTGTAACTCAAATAAGAGTGCATGTACTCCTATAAACCACTAGTATTATCTACATGACAACTGTCGTGTTCGTGGCAGGATACTAGGGGAGTCGAAATTTAAAATCTTTTAAAAAGATCCGTGGCATATACAAGATCCGTTCAGTAGAATGAAGAGGGATCCACCGGTCTCACTGCACCCCATAGGAATGAGTATTAGCCATGACCCCGAAATTACTAGATGTGGTAATATTCCAGGCCGTCCACGCCCGTACTGTAAGTTTAGCTGTCTTCGCCTACATGATCTACTTCCGACTGATAAGTCCTCCAAAGCTCCATGCAAAAACCATGATGTGGCAAGAGGCGTGAGTCTGACAACGACATATCTGACGGGGAGAAGAGTTACTGAGTTTCAATTCCGATTGCATTTCCAATCAACCAGATGCTTCCCAACTAGTCGCGAGACTCCACTAAAGTCCACAAAATTTCGAGAAATCGTTACTGAGAATTCAACGAAAAGTTCCGGCTTCGAACGTTAGCTGTAACCCAGACGATAGTTTGACAGACAATATACATTGCAGCAAAATATATGCTCGGCAGGTATCTTGTACACTGGACGTTAGAAGCCCTTGTCAAGTGAGCGTGATAAAGACTTTAAAGGGTAAATGCAGACGATGGAGTGCGGGATAAACGCACGATCTCTTGACATGCTGGTGACAACAAAACAGTGTAGGTTAGAGTAAGAAGTCAACCAACAGAGAGATCGATCGCTCATGGTTTCTGTTATCGATCTACACTGGAAATAAGTTGAAATTCACAACAACTTACACAAGGCCCCCTTAAATACCTCGAGCAATTCGGTGATGCAATAAGAAAATTCAAGTGGCTTAACCTGAACACATACATTTGCAGTCTTGGTGCCATTCACAGTATAAGCATCACGGTCTGCACAAAGGGTCTTGAGGAAGGGAAAAGCCTGAGGGGAATGGATTAAACTTCGTTCAGAAGTCTAGTTCAGAGGAGGGTTTTCTCTACTAGAAAGCAAGCGCAACAACACGCATTGCGTCACACGTGTTGTCGTAGACTCATACCTTGACAAACCAAGGTTCTACACATGTTAATTTGATGGAAGGACATGTGAGAAGGAACAAGACCTCGGGCTAGAGAACACGTTCGCAATGTCTGCATGAAAAGAAGAAAAAAGGACCAATGGCTTCCCCAAAAGCATAATGAAGAAATCCCAAGCGCAAACGTTCTCAAATTACTGTGTACCAAAACTTCATTTATGCTGGTAAGAGCAAGTGGAATATTTTACATCGGCATGACTGAAGAATTTCGTAAAATAGCTCGAAAAGTCTGGTATGGCTTTTCACTGTCAGAATTTACTTAATGATACACAAAAATCTAATATCACATAATCATATTCGCCAAACTTGAACTGGCAAATCCAATGGTATAATATACCGACAAGTAGCAGCCAGGTTCTACTTATCTAATAGCCATCAAACTCCTAACCACTTTGCTGCAAGACCAGTTGAACAGGTAGGGAGTTCCATAGACAGCATTCAAATGAAATCTACACTGTAATTGTAGATTCAGCAGTTGAGGATAGAAGTGATGGAATCTGGGACACACCACTCAATCCTTTCAATCGATGGAGAGCGTGGATAACTGGAAACTATCAGAAACGGTCGGAAAAATGTTTGCATAAGAAGGTTCGAACGAACAGAGATGGCGATTGGTGGTCGGTTTATTGACCTTCATCATCTGCCACGCTCCTGCTTCCATATCATGCTCGATAAATATGTCATAAACCTCCGCCTGGCAATTGATAGAAGGAAACATGAAGCAGATCTTTCTCCTGTGAACCACACATCCCCAAACATCCCACTGGAAGGGCAGATCTGTCATTGCTGCGAGCTCGCTGAATGCTATGCTACTTACTCTGTGCCATAAGATTCTAACATTGGCTCCAAAAACTCTCCTCTTAAAACTCTGCCTCCATAAGTCCTCAATGTTGGAAGTGTCAAGCTTCCAGAATGTCAAATGTTGAATGCCATGCCTTTGCTCCTGAGCTACCAGGTAAATTTCGCCCTGCTGTGTGATCAAATATGCGGAGCCATTATTATCAACGGCTCCCTCGACTGAAATCTCTACCCAGGTTCTCTTTTTCATGGAAAATATCTGTAAGAAATGTTGACTACCTAGGCTGGCAGAAGTCAACACGAACAAGTAATCCTCTGTAAAGACAACCTTGTTCACCGACGTGCTCCATATTCCCCCCCTCACCGGCGTAGGCTGATGGGCGAAGCTCCATGAATCTGTGGAAGAGTCGTAAATCTGAGTAGCTTTCAATCTGTTGGCACCACGTTCGCGCTCTTCGCTAAAAAATCCGGCCATCACAATCACATGATGTCCGGCCTCTTTATTGAATGACATTCCAGCTACTCGCCATGTGTATGCCGCCTTATGAAAGATCAGACCGGGCAATTTTCTCCAGCATTTTGTCAACGGATTGCATAAAACGATATGTTGCACATTGTACGGAAAACCAAAACAAAGAACGCCACCATCGCAAGCTACAAGAGCTCCTCGCGCGGTAAGCAAATTATGGCCCGGATAGTCGCCACCGCGGAATTTGTACAGAGAAAGCAGGCGAATGTTCCAGGAAGCCGTGCGAGGATTGACCCACTTCAGCACGAGATGATACGGCAGTCCCACATAAGTGCACAGGAGCAGACTATCGTTCAGACACGGCGGACAAATGTCTCGGCCGCAAATCATCGCATTCCACTCCCGACAAACACATCTCATCTTCATCGAACTCCCGGTCGGCAATTTCGCGACGACTCTCTCGAGCAGATCCTGAGGCAGACGAGACCACAGAGTCGGATCCATGTCGTCTGTCACGCAGTTGTCCTGAAACAACGAATTGACTTCCGTTTCCATGCTGAACTTAGCGCTTGCCTGCGGGCGCACAAATCCACCAGACGAGCCGAGCCGAGCCAAGGCGAGGCTCTCCTCCTCTCCAGCTCTAAACCCCGCACACCTTCCGTCGATGTTCATAACACCTGCTTCACCTGGTCCTCGCGATTCCACGGAGCTCCGAGGTACGGTCCGGCCTGAGTTTGTTGATCTCCCGTCTTCGCATCATTCCGAACACTGTATGACAGGTTGAACCTGCCAATGAAGCTCAGACACCGCCCCCAGAATAAAGATAGCGTACCTTAAGACATGCGGGAAGCCCAGACGGTCAACAGCGCGAAGTACTCTTGTCTTGCTCGGGATTTAAGTCCAGCCAAACAGATCGAATGGACCAATCGTCGCACTTGACTTATTCCCCCTCTGTACTTTCGAAGCAGAAGTAGAAGATGGGCCCAACTTCCAAAAGTGGAACGAATGAAGACCCGCCACTCATTTTGTTTGCTTGCTATTTTAGTAATATATTGTATCGGCCGACGAGCTCGGAGGTGGAACGCCGTCGGGGTGTCAAGTGTTGTGCTTCTATTGACGTGGAGGCTCAGAGCTCGGCTCGGCGGCTGCCAACTGGGATCGGGTGACGCGAGGTTGGTTTGGGTTCAGGAGGCTTTCAGCTCTCGTCGTGCTTTGACTGGGTCGCATGCATTGGATCAGAAGCCAGAGCCATACCCGAGCGGTTTCTACGCAGGAGTCACACTCAAGTTTCCATGAACTCCAAAAGAAATGCGAGGCCATCCAACTACTTAGTGTTGGCTGACAAGCTCAGACAACACAGATCCTCCGAAGGATCTGTGTTTGCTGTTTTTGGCGCAGCAGTGATATCGCCAGAAGCTTCCGCGGCCTCCCAGTCCCGTCCTACCATGTTGGAACAGGCATCTCTGACGTGTGACCCATGGCAAGCTCCCTCGCCACGTTTTGGGCCTATACCTTCCGATCGTCGTCAGATGCCTTTTCTGGCCTCAAGCAAGAGAAGAACGTCGAATGAAGTCATGAGAAGGAGTCAGCTATCATGGTTTTAATAGTTCATGTATTTATCATGGTTACTTCAGTTCTTTATTTTGTTTCTTTTCACTTCCATCAGGCAAAATGCAAAATCAAGGGAGAAAAGTAGACTCATTAAAAATACTGAAAAAAGTCCATTCTACAACTCACAAGTACTGCAACAAACCAATCACTTGTTGACACATACTGGATGAAACAAGTAGCCTGTTAATTAGACCATGTTTCTCAGCAATGCAATCTCGTCGTTTCTGAAAACGAGATTTCTTTCTATCTATCCATGTTTGACAATAACAGCTTTTACACATGCTTGAGATTTCAACTAACATACCGGAAAAGTAAAGGCGACCACGTTGATTATACGTACAGACAAATGAGAAAGATGTTGGTCCCCTTTGAACCTTATTAAAAAAAGACCTTCAATCGGAATACCTGAAATGAACTCCACGACTTTACTGATGCTTCCTTTAGCTCAGTGAATAGTACCTTGCGTAAAAGTGTTACATGCCACACACTTTTTGACGATAGTTGCTTGGTCCTTTTCTTTGTGACTTTTTTAGTACTATAATACTCTTGATTACTCTGTGCTAGATAAGCATGTACAATACTTGAGTCTTCTCCTTTTTCAGCTTTCGGCTTCTTTTACATGCTAATTATGATTTTTACAGCCTATTATTCCTTCTCTCTAAGTTGATTTGATTAATTTAAATCCGACCAAATGGTTACCAATTTTTTCATTTTTTTTGGCGCTTGGGGCAATGACGTAGTTAGTGAGTTGAAACTATTTCCATATTATACATATACGGCCACATTCAATCATTTTCTATAGCCTTCGTAGCACGATGAAATCCAAGAGATGAACATAACGTTCTGTTTCGAACGATGAGAGTAAGCATGAACACCATATGCATTACATTCAATTCAACATTTTCATTCAATACGTAAAACACATGTTTTACATTTTGTAAAATTCATTTCACATATACTAAATTCATATATACTCATCTCAAATCTAGATAAAAAAATAAATTATCATTAAACAAATTGAAAAGAAGACATAACAAAGTTCACACGATCCACATGAATAATTTTTTTCCCCGAAAATCAGAGTTTCATCACTATATGTCTTAGTTTATAAAGCTGTTGAAGACGCACTTGTAAGAAGATTGTGATATTTCAAAATAAGATCGGTAAACTTTGATCTAATTTGTGCTCAAATGCTTTTCCACGTTCAATCCAATTTACTTTTTTAAACTAATTGGCAGATAATTAATGTAAATTTGGCTGAGCCTTAAAATTTTTATATTTTTTATTCTCTTATTAGGATAAAAAAAGGTTAGAATTGGCTAATTTTATTAAGCAGGAAGATTAAAATTCTAATTATCTTGTTTGAAAGCAGATAAATTTTAAATTAATGGTAAAATATAATACTAATTTTACTAATGGATTATTGAAATTTAATGAATTTGACGAAATTTCTAATAAAATACTGTTTTTATATTTTGAATTGTGTACACATCTAATTTTTACTTAATGAAATTATAACAATTCCTTACCTTATACTGAAACTGATTTACAAGAACTACATATATTACATAAAAAATAAAACACAAAACTTTGCAATTTCTCAGACATGTTTTTTAAAAGACAGATACATATTAATATTTTTATGTTAAATTATATTTTAAATATTCGTTTATATATATATTTTGTGCATGATATGTATTTATATTCTATCTATTATATTAATTTTTTCAGCACTTACTTCTTAAGAAATCCAAAATATCTTTCATGTAAAATTATCAATGATTACCATTTTGATTTTGATTACCAAATTTTTTAAAACAAATTTTATTTTTTTGGAGAAATTTGTTGAATAATGCTATAGGTATTTGAGAGTAGTAGGATTTGAACAGATTATGGTTTGAAGCTTAGAAATCATATCATTTATCATTATTTTGATCAAATTTTATTTGACTATATTTTAAGATGTTAACATTTAATAAAAATATATTTAACAACATTAGTTATTAGATTGATATTTTGCTTTTGTAATATTCTTTTTGGTATAAGATTAATGGACTAAGTTATGAGTACATTGTTAAAAAATAATTATCGCGATGATTCTTATGGTATTTTTAAAATCAGCTTTGAAAAATCTATAATATTTCAAATTTATTTTCTGAGTTAGTAAGTTGTTTGATGAAAAATATTTAAATACATATAATTACTTCATAATAAAAGATTAAAAAATACTGGAAAAAAATATAACATCAATAAAATTAACCCAAAATATAATTTACAAACAAAGGTTTTCAATTGTAATAGTTCAATTAATAAGATATGAATGATATTTCAAGATTTAACTTCAGATAGCTTGCTATTGGAATCATTTCATATAATAATATTGGATAAATAACTATATAATCTATCAAACTTGAAGTGATATTTTTTTTTTAATTAAAGACTTACATATTGTATAATTTTCTTGGATTGTATGTTTTTTGCAATTATTTTGGAATAATGAAATGATTTTTAAAATATAGAGGAATGTTTTAGTCAAATTTTTGTGAAATTCATATAGAATAATGCTAAAAAGTGAAGAATTTTTTGCATTATCCTTGGTTGATTCTAACTTCAAATACAATCTAATCTATTTATAAGTCTCTGTGTTGTACTTCCAACCTATGTGATACATAAATCTCCATACATATTTATGATTTGGATTGTTTTTTATGTCTCATAAATTAAATATATTTTTATGGCTAACAAAATATTATATGAAATTATTAAAATAAATCAGATAAGGTTTTTTGAAGCTTCTTGAATTTTTTTAAATATAAAATTAATTTTAAGAAATTAATATTTTCACAAAATTTTATTATTTTATTATTTGAAAGTTTATTAAATTTCAAATTATTACAAGACACTTAAGAAGAGGCATGACGTACAATCCATGGGATTACTTTAGAGCTTTTTTGGCCCTAACTTGGTTGGATGGCTTTGGACATGCACAGATTCATTTAAATCACACAAGCTATATTGATTGAAAATTCATTGTACCAAAGTTTTTACAAATTGTCCGTATATGGTTCACTTGCTTTGCAAAATTTATGTCATGGGTTCTAACCTGCATCGCATCTAAAAATCCATACTCAATCCTGATCCATGCCCACGGATTGTGCGCTTGTGGTATCCATATCCTACCCATACACGGAGGGAACACATCCAATACTCTACCCATACCCAAGTCATCTTAGAGATGATACCTGACTTAGAGTCAAAAAAATTGGAAAAAATCCATGGTTTATATTTTGCTTTCGACTTCTAGTGGAGCCACAACATGGACTATCCACGACAGTAGCATTGAGCGTATGAACATGTATCGTTGAGCTTAGATGGGTGCAGCTGGTTGCGCTTCTTGTTCATGTTTTTTCTAGTGTTTGAGAAGTTGTTCTCTGATTTTGCGCTCGACATTGGAATGACCAACACTGAACGGACTACTTGAGAAAGGATGGAAAATTTGTTAAGATGAATCTTACATCAAAATAAAATTCTGTTTTTGGATTAGAGTATGCTTTCATCGTCATTGCAGTTGTGACGAATGTAGTTGTTGAACTCTGTCATCAAAGAAAAATCACGTAGCATATCGTTGGCGAGGGACTCATCGTCAATAGCGCTATTGCTTTCAACACTGTATTCGGCGAGACGGCGTGGAGCCCATTCATTGTCTTGCTTCTATTTCTTATGATATCGTCAATGGCGCTTTCGCTGTCAACACAATACTCGACGAGTTGGCACGATGCGCACTTGTTGTCTTGCTTATGTTTCTCATGGAGTCGCACGTTGACGTCGTCAACGATGCAAAGTCACACCATATGATCCTTCATCATGTTATCCAAATTTATTTTGCCGAGCTCGATGCTCAACTTGTCAAGACAAAGGTTGGTTTTAGAATTGAGTAGGATGGCAATAACATGGATGTTCGATAAGTTTGAATAATTCTGGCTTCAAGGCGACGAATGTGAGAGTGTCATTCTTTAATGTGATTATTGTAACATCTTTTTCCTTGGTAGTGATATTCTTCGTGACGAACCGACAATGCTTCAGCAAATTTTGCTTGAAGTTGAAAACACGGTGTAGCGTAAAATCTACAAACACCTCTAGAGTTAGATTGGACTTCTGAAAGGGCAGGAGAGAGAGAAGATGAATC